GTTGAGAGAGGTGTTCTAGCGAGGTGAAGAGTTACTGAACTGAGGAGTGACGGTGATGCGACAATATTTATATGTGCAGGCGGAGCCTGACATCTGTCGTCATCACGTCACCTGCCTAAAGGCGTGATTAGAGGTGGCTTCAGCCAGGACACGCAGGGGCGTGGTTCCCATACATATGTTGTACCGAGTGTATTGACTGAAAGGGAACAAAATCTTCTACAAAACAAAACAAGATTTTAAATGAATCAAAACACAAAAATATGAATTTTAAAAATCCAATTAAATTGCAACAACTTACATTACATTCATCAGTGTGCAGAGACCTGTGCAAGAAAAACAAAATCTTCTACAAAACAAAGCAAGATTTTAAATGAATCAAAACACAAAAATATAAATTTTAAAAATCCAATTAAATTGCAACAACTTACATTACATTCATTAGTTTGTACTTCTTAGCATTTAATATATTTTTCATTTACTATAAACTGTTGGATTCAGTCATCATATGGAGATTATTATTGAATCGGTATCGGTCTGTTTTGGACTGATCTGAATAGCATGAATCAGAATGGTTTGCTTTATTGATTAGTTGTTTTTTTGTTCGTTTGTTTGTTTTTTGTGCCCTGAGATGACTTTAGTTGTGAACTGGTGTAATAAACGTAATCTGAGATGAACTGAAATAAAAAAAATAACAAGTGTGGGGGAAAAAGCATACACAACAAAATGAGGGTAAAATCAAACCAGGAGATTAACAGATTATTTCACTATGAGTAAAAATCACCAAGTGACACAAAACACACCAAAACTAGACATTGACATTATTCCATTTGATAAATTAAAAAYACAATATAATTTTATATACCGAATATTGAATGGAAGATTCCTTTGGAACACAGTTACTTCTTGCAGTCTGTGAAACATGATTCCTCTGTTTTGGTTGGTTGACTCTTGTGTTTGGTCAAAAGCAAAGCTATTACTTTCACCAACAAAAGGAACTCTGAATTTGTTGATCCAAGAGGATAAAAAGAATATATAACCCAGGCACTAATACTGTTGTCTGTGTTGATTGGTGTCTATATGTTGAGACAAAGAAAAATATTTTGTTTCTCATGAAAAAACAGACAAATTGTTTTATACAGTGTTTATCAGCATCTGTCAACTGTCTAAAACCATTTGACACAAATCCAAATTGCTGCTCTGCTGCAGTGAGTAACCAGAGTTCTGACTTCCTGACCAGCATCTGCTGAATGTTTTCACTCTCTTAATACCTCTCACAGAGATAACTCCCAAACACTCAGAATTATTAGCACAATTAGAACAAAATGCTGAAGGTTCAGACTAAGTCCCGTTGCACAGTGGACCAGGTATGATCAGATTTCGACAGAGAAACATGCACTGTTATTGGATTTAATGGCAACCTATATAATGAGCTCAGCAGCCGCCGTCAATTATCAGATGTCCACCCAGCAGTGCTTCTAACTTCACAGCGGTGTACCGAATAATCTCTAATGGAGCAGTGATTGTGCAAAGTCTCTTTAAGTAGTTTTCAAAGGCACTGCYTGGCAGGTTTCACTGTTTTTATTCTTTTTCTGGAAACCACTGATCTGTACAGGAGGGTATTAGAAACCCATAAGATTTTTTTTTTTTTTCAGAAAAAAAAAAAACTGTTTCTTGATCTCTGTTTTTCTTTTTTACCTTCAGRACAGTGAGATTTTAAACACGGCTGTCCTGACTGGAAAGACTGTAGCTGTCCCAGTGAAGGTGGTGACCATCGGAACTGATGGCTCTGTGACGGACGTCTCTGAAGCAGTGAAATGTCGCTCGACTGAGGAGGACGTGGTGAAGGTCAGTAATYACAGAAGAGGAGACAAATATCTGCCCGCTAATTCACATCAGTGTTAAGATGTTTTACACGGCATAAGCATAACATAAAACTTTTATATTCATTCAAAAATAGATTCAGTTGATAAACATTCATAATCAGATAAATGTTGGTCCTGTTTTTAGTTAAACTGCCAGGATCTGTTTTTATTTATTTATTTATTTATTTATTTTGTATTTTTCCTGGTAGTAGTTTGCGTTGGTTGTTGGGTTATGTCCATTAGTTTAATGTTCTCTGTGTTTAACTTTGTTTCCTTTGGGTTCCTCTGTGCAACTTTCCCTGTATTTTCCAAAAGTCACTTTCAACCTCCTCTATTGTGCCGTCCATCCTCAGCTGTTCCCTGTTACCATCAACCCACCTGTTTCCTTTTACCTCTTCAGCCCTAGTTTTCTTAAGTTCATCAGAACCCACACTTTCAGATTCTGTATTCATAACAACCCAGGGAGACTTTTCTGGTTTTGCTGTGGCCAGTCACATTCACACACACACACACACACACACACACACACACACACACATGGTATATATTTGCTCCATTTCTCCATCAGTGTGGGCGTCCCAGACTAAAAAATATTGAAGACCTTTGATTTAAGCCTGAAACATACTCGCTCCGACGCCGATGGGTCGACTCGCAGTCACGTGGTTGTTCAGCAGTCATTTTCGTACAGACCTTTCATAGTCCCTACGACACCCCCACGCCGAGTTCAGGAAACCCCCCTCCCTGAAACATATGTCACTGCATGGAGTTCCCCTGGCAAAGGCGGTTATTGCTGAAAAAAAGTCAGATTCGTCACTCACCCGACGTATTTATCCACATCTGTCCTGGTTAAAGCTCCACAGTTTTTATCAGTCAGATTCCTCCATGCACAACTTCTGTTTTATCTCCATTCATGAGTTTTTCATGGAATGACTTTCTTTATAAAACTCTACGTCCTGGTGTCAGCTCTGGGAGAGAGTCTGGGTTTTTCCCCCCTCTTCTTTTTACCGAGTGCAGCAGCRCATTCAGCACAAACAAACAAGCCAATTAGTTTTTCACAGTTTGACTATCTTATAAAACTCTGTTTTATAGTCTGGGAGCGAGTCATCCCCCCCGAGCGCAGCACAAACAAACATGTCTGCGACCAATCAGACCAATCACACATTACCGTACACACATATACGGTGGGGGGGTCAAAAAGTTCTGCTGGCGGGTTGTACCAAAAGGGGCTGTCGACACGACGCTGAGAAGCCCGGTGACCTAATTTTCGTCATTAAACTGCGACAACCCGTGYCGACGTCGGCAGTTCGCAGCGAGTATGTTTCAGGCTTTAGACAAAGCATTTATTTTTTCATCTTTGTTTAAATCTGCACTCCAAATTAGAGAAATAGATATAAGAAACTTATATTTTTAGCACAGTCCTATAAATCCTCCAGAAGGAGAAACAAAACACCAGCAAACAACATGAAAGACTGTTTGATATGTTGAAGYTACAGTTCAACTTTTCCTTTGTTTTTGTGCCCCCTATTAATCTGTGGTACAATGCACAACAGAATAAAAAAAACTTCTATAGAGTGAGAAAGTTGAGCCCTGATATCAGCAGGGAAAAAAAACATCCTCCTGTAGAGAATCATGTCTTTACATGTGTCAGTTCCAAAATATAAACCACTCCCAGTCACTAAAGAGAAACCTTTGGCTCCAGGAGTGTCCTTCGAACTATTTTCTTCTGGAGCATATTAAGACAAAATAAAAGCTAATGGCCTAAACATAAAATCTTCATWTCAGATCAAATTAAAAGCCTGAAGCCATGAAGAATAATTTGCCAGTAATCCTCTGTATCAAACAGTAGTGAGTTGTAAGCAAAATGAAGCTGTGAAAAAGTTGCACCTAAAATCTTTCGATCTGCGCATTTATCTTACATTTTTACTGCTACTCATTCAAAGTAGATGTTTGTCTACTGCCACTCTCCAATCATGCAAACATGACTCGTTGACCAGAGGAAGAAGCCATCAAACATTGTGACATTAAACCTGAATAGTGAGTCATGGTGCACAATAAATGATGCTTCAGTCAGTWTTATTATTGCAGCAGATTGGAAAAATATACCTCAAGTTCCACATTTTTATTCTTTAAGCATCTGTTTGTCTTTGTTACAATAACTGTGACTGTGACATGTGCTGGCAGAAATAAGTTCATGATAATGTGTGTGTACGTGAAATGTTTGAGAACCACCTTTTTTCTCTTTTTTTTGTCTACAATTGCATTTTATTGGCTTCTCGTTATAGATGTAAGCCACATAGTATTCATATAATGTAATTTGTAAAGTAGGAGAATGAATCCAGAAAGTGCCTCTCATTTCTGGATCAGCATTCAGTTTTGTGATGCAGCTTTTATTTTTCAGATCAGTGCTGTTTCTATCCTCATGCACTCACAGGTCTCTGGGCCGTTCACTTTCTGGCATCGAGCAGCTGATGTTTTAAAATTCACCTCAGACTACAACAATAGTTGTCCAACAACAACACAAATATATTTCACAGTTGTGTATTCATGAGTTCTCTTAGAAAATCTTCCTTTTTCATTTTAACTATACCTTAAAGGATGGGTCAGACATAACCTCAGGTACCAAGAAACTGGACTATAATAAACTTTACATACAGACCTTTCCTCCTGCATTGAAATGACTGATGGTTGCAGTATGCAGACTAGTCTAAGCAGCTTAATTGCTTCTGTCAAACCAACCCTGTGTACAGGCCAGAGATGGACTCAGCCCACCTTCATGCTTTCTGCTCCCATCGCTCATATCTGCTGTGGATTGTGTCTGTCTGGTGAGTTGTTAATTTCCTGGGCTCGATCCAGCGACAGCCCTAATGTTCTCTGTAAGTATTCTCCCGTTAGCTGCCTAATGGCTTTGATTAATGTGGCAGCGGATCCTCCTGGACATTTATGATACTTGGTGAAGCAGCATGGCACAGAGTGTATAATTCATGAAGACAGTCCCACCTTTAGTGTGGTTGGGACAATACCTGGTGGACTATGTCTGCTCAGCGAGTGTAAAGGTCCTTTCAAATTTAGCTAATCAATTTTAGCAACAAAAYAATGGTTATAACTCAATCAAATGTATAGATATTGCCCTTAAAACGAGTGTGGTTTAGCATSTAGTGTTTTTTGTGKGKKTTTTTTTTGTTTTGTTTACCAAAACATACTCAGAACACTACACATTTCACAACATCGTTCAAACATTTCATCTGAAGATTTAAATCAACACTGAGTGTCTGTCAGCAAAATATCTTAAGAACCACAGGACAGATGTGAGTAAAATTGAATGTACATCTAAAAAGAGATTTTGAAGTCAGTCTAATTCAAATTGGTCATCACAGTTGAATTCACAGATTCTGAGCTAAAACTTAGCTCAACTAATGTGATGTAGAGGCAGCTGAATGTGATTAAAAATACACACTCCAATCACTAATACACACTGTGTAATCTTGYAATATTACATGATATTATAAAGCTATTTATAAAGTTTGACCAAAATGGCCACATATCTGTTATTTCTTATCATATGATGATCTTAGTCTAAAATGTAAGAAAGGTAAAAAGGGATTCCTTCAATGCTCCTTTAACATTTGTTATTTTTGCCYCAATGCAATTAAAAAATAAAATACAAATGTTAGCAAGAAGTTTATATTCGTTTCACAAAAAAAGTCATAGAACTGTAGATGAAATCCAAAAATCATTAATAAATTCTTTAACAACAACAACCAAAATTACATCTCATACAGTTTCCAAAAGAAAACACAGCATCAGCTTTGAAGAACAYGTTTGCAGCAGCAGCGCTTGTGAAAACAGGTTGAAGAGCCTCAACCAAAAGTCGGTGAACAAGAAGCTGTCAAAGGCACTACTGTCCCAGCAGAGMGCAGTGAGAGTAGAGCAGCTTTACAATGAGGGCTGATAAGTAGCACAGAGTCCTCTGATATCTCTATTAGTTCCAACTCTCTCTCACACTGGGAGCCCTGACGGAGTCCAATCTGCTCCGTGACAGGCTGCAGCCAGGGGAGGGATGCCACACTTGTGGGAATGTTCCAATGCCTCATTAAGCAACACCAGCAGTCTCTGCTTCGGCGCAGTGTTGTACTGCATAAGGACAAGAGTCAGTCTGCGCTGTTTATTCAGTGTTGAAACATCAATTAAGCATCCAGCCATCTTATGTGTGTGTCCACCGGAAGTCACAGCTCCTGTGTAGAGGCTTTCTGCTGCTTTACTGTAGTCTTAAAGGAAGCCCTGCAGCGTGCCTTCAGCTCTCTGTTGGATGAGACTGTGAGCTGCTTTGTCTGAACACAAAATCCCCCGCTTCTGATAGCCTGCAGCTGGTTCTGAGAGTGTTTTGCACAGAACATAATAAACATATCAAATGTGTAAACTTAAAAAAACTGTACTATCTTAAAAGGCAAACAAGGTGATATTTAATTTGATGACAGGAGCACAGGTGGCACAGTTACATCACTGAAAAGGCTCAGAAACACAACCACAAATTAATGTACAGTATGTAAACAGTATCTGCGATGCTATCCACAAATCCAGGATAAAGCTCTATTAAGCAAAGTAGAAACTATAATGTAAAACACCATCCAGCATTGACAACATCTTCTCTGAGCTCAGACAAGTCAACATTTAAAATATCTTAATGAAAACTACAAATGCCGCATCCTCCATACTGAAGAGTACTGATGGTATAGGGCAGGGCTGGACTGGGACCAAAAAACGGCCCGGTCATTTTTTTGGTCATGGCGGCCCACCATTATTTATACAATATACGAATACCAGAGGATGTGTTTGCACTTTGTGTTGTTTCACAAGTTAAAGTGCAGCAGCCTACAAGGAAGAGAGTAACCATGTTTAAAAACCTGATGAGCTCTTCTTCCACTCAGAGACTTTAATGTTCATGAAGTTCTGATGCTCAGTCAGTGGATCATCAGAGAGCTGGAT